ATATATATATATATATATATATATATATATATATATATATATATATATATATATATATATATATATATATATATATATATATATATATATATGTATATATATGTCTAATTACAAGGAGTGGATAGATGAATTGCAATTTCAGATGTTTACCTGATCATCGTAAGAGTTTTTTCCAGGTCTTGGCATTAGAAACTTTATGGCAGCAAATAGGTGTGTGATACGGTTGTTGTAACTGTGCTGCTGCTTAAGATTTAGGACAAAATCTCTTCAGGAATGTTAGGAAAGAAAAGGACACTGCAAGCTGAACTGAATTAAGATGGAGAAATATGAGGAAGGACTGTAATATGGGTGGTAGTAGTCAAAGAAATGAGCAAATTATCATCAAACAACTCATTTCTATCCAATACAACATAAATATGAACACACATTTGTATGTGTCAACCAACGAGTAGGAGGCGAGGCGATCGTTTGATAACTGTCGCAAGTATTGTCGGGACGCAACCAGTTCACTTATATGGGCGGGAGTTGAATGAGCCATATCAACCAATGGTTAGGCTTTCATGGTATTCCAGAAGACGGCATACAGCGAGCAATACGCATGTCTCTTTATGTCATCATTTGGTTAACAACACTTTTTCTGGAACATATCACTGGATTACGGTACTCATTTGTTTTTCTTCATGTTTGCTTCTCTATTATTCACCACATAAATATTATTCTTTTTTAAAAGCATTACTCCTTCATTATATAATGTTAATGCTTATTTTAATTATATTAATGACTAATCAACAATCGTAGCGACCATTCAATGGATTTCGTTGTCACTTCTGCATAACCAGCTAGAAGTAAAGATTAATATTTTTATACTACTAGATGCAAAAAAATATGTAGTGCTACAATTTGTGATTGATAAATTACTTTTGGGTAAACTTCGAAATGATTTATTTTTCAATTACAAATGATCAACTGGCTGATTAATTAGTAATTAAGTAGTGCAGTCTAAAAAATCAGTTATCTACTAATTAAGTGAGGATATAACTAAAGCAATCTGTTGTATATAGTCTTACCTAATTTCATAAATACATTGGTTATAATTGATACCGTTATCGTATTCTGCAAAATTTTCATATTTCCTTTTCTACAAATAATTTACTGCTTATACAACTAGCTTCTAACTTTATAAACTTCACAAAATTAATTTCAAAAAAGTTATATGTATGTATTTGTTTTTATTCAAAAAAATGAGTTAAATTTAATGAGATGGTAAGCAAAGGACAGAGATTGGATGCAGTACGTCAGTGAATTTTGTTGAGAAAGGAATTCTCTGGTTGGAATAGACGAGGGTCATCATTTACCTCTCCAGTAATATTATTAGTTGTTGAAAAAATTTGATACCGAAATATTCAAGACGAATAATTTTGATATCTGAGTATAATTGTTAAATCAGTGAATGGAAATGCTGGTGATTATGCAGCTATTTAATCAGTTATTGAAATATGCAAACTTATTTTATAATCCAACCTTTATAACTTCATTTGACCTCATATTCTTTTGCATTACGACAGCCAATTTTTGTCGTTCTTTGTTCGTAGGCTAAAATATTTTAATTTACAGAGAATTTACCAATAATTTAATTCAAATTTAATTTTCTCGTATGATTTTGCCTCAAGTATAAATATTTAGCATATTTTAGCAAGTGATTTTGAGATGTTTTTTATTTTTTGAATATTTTATGAAGGGATCGTACTTATTGACTTTCTAACTTAAAATTTCATTTATAAAAGATGAATTCTTGCAGCCAATTATGTGATGATACATAGGAAAGATTTGTTTTTATAAGCATATGAAATTTTTAATTGATATTCAATTCTGAACGATTCGTATAATCAGACTTCCGACAATCTCGATGTCACCCTAAATCATATTCTGTATTACTAAATGTGACAACTCGTTTGAATTAACAGCACGATCAATCCAGGTTAATTACACGTGGTCAAGACTGGTTGAAAAGTGAGTTTGCTTCATTGCTTTGAAGGTCATTCCATACATCAGCTTATCGCTACCACGTACATCCATCCATTCCTCTTTTTCTCCACATTACAGGACTCTGATTCAAAAGAAATTAACCGCATTATCGATTGAAAGAATTATTCAATCCTGATTATGGTATCTCTGCAGTAAGAAGAATCTGCTCATATTTTTCCTTTCATCTTCACTATTGTATCGGTCTAACTGTCAAAATGCAAGTGATCCATCCATCTCCGCAGCATGGGACACTCGCCAAGTTGTCAGTGACAACAGTGAAGTCTTCTTTCCATCTTCCCCATATTTCTCTTTAAGTATACAATCAATTATCGTCCCTCACGTAATCACAACTATCAAACCATTATAATTGGCTAAATATTCAGAAACAGTGTAAAGACATTGTTTCTATTTCTCATACACATAAGTCACATCCAAACCTTAAATTTAATCAATAATAATTTTACTTCATGAAACTATCGTTCTACGTTTTAAATCTCATAGCATTATGATAATCATTATTACAATCACGATGCTAAATATGACTGTAATTGCCATATGGTTATCATCTATTTTTGTTTATTATCATTATTGATAGATTAGGAGAAGAGAACTGTTTTCCAAATATAAATGGAAAAGTAATATAAACACTTAAGATAATAGTGACGTGAAAATGAGTAGCTTAACAAATGCAAAGCAAAGTAGTGACATGATAATGGGTAAATTTAATAATTAGACACTATTGAGAATATTTGAAGAAAGCCATTAGTGCATTATCGAATTCACAGTAAAAAATGTATTTTTAAAATCATTAATATTTGCAAAGGTTTCTTTTTTTCTGTTCCAATTTTGGATTTGGAGACAAGATTCGTTCCCGAAATTTCAATTATTCTTACTGTAAAAGAAAGTTTTATCATTATGGAATTCATGACAAGAGTTTAATTCATTTCATTCTCTCCGATAAATATGTTCCTTTACGTTATGTCATATAAAGAATAACATTATCAATTTTGCAATAAATTTTAATTATCTTTGCTACAAATTTACCAAAAGCGCATTTATGAATTAAGAAAAATGAATGTCATTCCGTAATTCTTATTATTCATTCTCTTTGCATCTTTTTTCAAACTTTCCCACTCGTTCGTCCAAACCATCTTTGACTCTAATTACCTTATAAAATTATGGCATCTTTCTCTTATTAAATTATCCACTTGGCAATAATAACGGATGCAAAACATGCTCAAAATAATTTGTAGAACTTATAGAGAGGAAACAAACAATTAAGGACAAAGTGTTATGGTTCACAAATTGTTCTCATTGAAATAGCTACACGACTAGTCATCTAAGTTTGACTTACATACCGAACAAAAACAGCCATGTAGGATTGTTGGCATTAAAATGATAATTCATAACTAATGCTAAAAATGGTATTGCTTCACCATTTCTGTACTTTTGAAAATCATAAGAGAAATTTTATTTCACCATTTCGAAATTTAGTTTGGCCAATAAAAGAACAAAGGGTAAAAAGGAGCGCTTTATATCTATCAACTAAGACTCAATCTCCCTCTTCCGTTCTATGTTGCAATTATATTATAAACAGCATAACTGATAATATACAATAAATTTGTTACCAAATAGTTCTAAGCATCACCTTCAGCAGTTATTGCCTTAACAAACTAAAGATGTGCTGTCATATATCTTAAACTGAAATTTCCGTTAAAAATTGAATTGTCCTTCCTAGTCCTGTAGTTTTATCATTCGGACGAGCCTTCATACGACTCACGAATCGTAATTCATCAATGTCGATAACCATGCAACGAACTTTCCCTAGGTGTTAAGGATGAGCAACTCTGTTTTCATAATGACGCATTATCTGGTCTCACTTGGAGTGTAAAACTATTGGATAGTGAAATCAAAATCAGAGCAATAACAATAAACAGACATTTGATTATTCTTTGTTACGTGGTTATCGACGTTGCTGACTGTGTTTCGATGAAATATAAAACTAAATTCGCAATACAGGAAGATAAGTAGCAAAGGAGATAGTACGGAGAAGTTTAACATTTTGAAGAGATTCGAGTCAGTGCAACAGAAATATCCTATAACGGTTAGAAACAGCTTGTTGAAGAAAAAGTACAAATGCATTTGTCAACATAAATAACAGTCAAAGACAACACATTGTTACGGTGTCTTTTTTTTAGAAATCTCTTTTATAGGGAACGTTCAGTGAAAGGTAACAAATCTATCACCCCTTGATCGTCAAGGTTTATTGCACAATAAGCGCATCGAAGCAGACTAATAGACGCCAATAGCAACAAAAACAACATCAACAATACTTCCATTCCTTACTACTTATCAAGCACCTTTATAGATGTTTTTAAATGTTCATGCCGTTTTCTGAAATGGATTTCTAGATATTTTGTCGTGATTGGAATAGGAAATCTTGAAATCATATTTACAAAATGAATTTCCAACTTCCAAAAACAGCATAAAATTGCTGCATTTTATTTCAAAGTAATCACTTATGCATCGATCGAACTCATATTTATTGAATGCGGTATGAATGGCGATAAATCGATGCAATACTCGGGAATTCAACTTCGTATGAGTTATGAATTCCAGTGACTCTAATGAACAGAATAGCAAATGTGCTGCCCTAAATACTTTGCCTGAATCGATCAACAACTAGAATCATCGACGCATTTTGACATAGTTTCGAAGAACTGATTTGGATTTTCAAAAAAATTAATTTGGATTTTCACCGGAACTATCTAATCAATTCTTACTTCTTACAGCCATATTATTACTAGTTATTGTGCATTTGGAAGAAATTGGACACAGCCAAATACTGACTGTTTGATATTGTGTGTAACCCCGTACTTAGCAGTAGTATGCCAGTGACTGAACTTTTAACTATTAACTGGTCATTTATCACCTTCTATCACCTTCTACCCAATTCACCAGCATAGTTCGCGTGCTCATATAGAAAGAGAGTCCATGATCTCACGGTTTGTCAAACTCCCTCTTTAAATACAGAATAAGTAAAATATTGATTGTTCTAGCTCCATCTTATTTATTTACCAAGACCATAACAAATGAAAAATATTTCCTCTCTAGGTAATCCATGTTGAAATGCTATTATACTGTTGGCAATTGAAAAGCGCTGCTGAACGTGTGCCAAGTCCACATTCTTCGATCATAATCCAGTGTAGACGGATGCATTCGCATGCAATAATGCATAAAGGATTTATATCATGGCAAAATCTGTAACAGTTCGTTAGGGTTTCCTCTTGAGTCTTCGATAAACCGGATTCAGGCCAATATGTGCACTGTCAGTTTAGAAAACTTTGTGGTTGTTTCACATTTGCTTATAATTTCATGGTTCTAATGTAACAAACACTGGCCATTGATTGATAACAAACTATATGTCGCTTATCATTTGCTTACCATATATATTCTGGATGCAGATAGTTGAACTCAAAGAGGTCAACAGGTCAACAGAGTATTGCAGAAATATGAGCACATACGAAAAGATGAAACTTTCACAAATACATACATAGTCGATGGTAGCGGTAAACATTCCGAACAGAGAAGAATATAGCGTTTGCAAATAATACATACTTTCCGTTGTACGTCGCTACATTTGTCATTTTACAGTAGTACCTAAATTTTGAAATCATTCCGCTAATAAGTTCATAAAGTAACGAAATTAATGATGACTTTTAATGTAGCAAGATAAACTTAAGTAGAAAGTCTTAGCAGGAAACAAGAACAAGAAATAGAAGTCAAAGATCGTCAAGAAACAAGTTATCAAAATTAAAACTAAAAACCATGCCCGGAATTATTCACTACCATATTGGCTAAATCTTATGTTAAGTGAAGTCAATTCTAAAAATGGATGATGTGCTCAAAATGGTCGATGCTGCTCTGTTAAGGAAATGATGCGTCACACGTTGAATTCCAATTCATGCAACCGCTCATCGGATAGTTTCCCAGTGAGTACTGAAAAATCCTTCGAATCATTTTAACAGTAAAAATAATAGTGACTCGTGAAGTTGCCATTTTAAACACATTCTACCAGGAAATTACTTTGTGGTAAGGCCGTTGTGTTTTCTGACCTGCGGATTTTTGCGTTATGTTTACACTACTAGTTTTTCCATACCAGAGTACTCTGGAACAATTTTACCTTCTTCATTTGCGCTCTCCCTTCTGTCGAAGAGTAGAGTAAAAATAGGAACAGGTAAACCATCAAATAAATTTCAAAGCATATCATGCAGAAACCTCCTTGCTTACCTTTACTGATAGTCCCTCCACTCTACACAGACTAGATTCGTATCGAACTTAACTCAGGCTTCCTATTTCGCATTTTGTTGCGTATGACGAATTCTAATTTCGTTTCGCATGACGAAATCTATGAAAATACAATTTAGTTGAACAAAAAAGTAGAAACTCCAACTGGCCAATTGATATAATCGAACACAATACAAAAAAGCATCAAAAACATTCTCATCTTTTGAAGATCTACAACAAATTAAGAAAAACGAAAAATAATATCAGATGCTTAGAACGAAAAATAATATCAGACGCTTTAGAACCACTCTCCTGGTCAGCTGATGGTGCCAGATTGATTAAAATGGACAGCAGTATCTTCAACGGAACGATAAAATGATAAACGACCATTATCAACGCGATGCCGACCCAGACATTTGCCAAACAGTTTTTTCTTTCTTTCCTTTTTTTTCACATCTTCTCATAATCTATTTAACAACAGATGCAGAGAAACACTTTAGTGAAAATGAGATCACGTAAATAACTGCAACAATTGGTCCAACACTTTAAGGAAATTATTCAATCCGTTATAAATATAATGATGCCGTAAAAACGATATCACGTTTCAAAAGCACTCGTGCTTCTTCAAAACGTGCTTCCAGATCCCCATTTCCGATTGCTTTTGAAGCACCCACCATCTCACGCAATAATTCCTCCAAACGTCGCATGCAGCGAATTATTGAACCTGAATTTGGTAAAAAGAAATAGAGGGTAATGAAAAAAAAAAGTAGCTTCAGTAGTCAGCTGTCCTCAGTATCTGGATATAAAATAACCAACAAAACATAACACATACACATATACAGACAGACACACACGCACGCACAAAATATATACAAAACACATGTAATACAAAAAAGATAAGCTATTGATACCTTCAAAAACATCCGTTTTTTTAAAATTTCAGCAAAAGAAGCACCAGTACACCATGCATGGACTACATCCATCAAATGCGGCTTAAACGACTCCACATATTTGTCTTCATCAATCTCAAGCTTTGATTCCTTTGTCACCTTCGCAATGCGTCTAGCGTATTCCTGGAACGATTCAAAAAATGATTCGAAAGCGAAAAATAAAAACAAGAATAACCTTACTCGGCATAAACCGCAGAAACTGACCAAACGCGGAAGCATTCAAGCTTATTAGACCGTAGCCCAATCCTTGCGACGGTAAGTTTTCTCTAGATATCGAAAACAAATAGTCTACCAAAAATTCCTTTCAAATTTAAAAAGCAAGAACTTGATGTAGCGGACCAAACAGGATTTGAGTTAATACAAGTTTTACTTTTAATGTCAATGAAAAATTAAAACTGGGTCACTTAAATGAAAGCAGGTTGAAGTATTCCTTAATCTTAACAATAATAAAATAGCTCACTTGCATTGCTCTCAAACACCCACTGAGATCATCTGCTAGTTTTGTTCCCCCTGCTTTTTCTTCAAATACAAAACACGAAAGCAAAGCTGCCAATTGCGGAGTAGCAAGCTCGGTAAATATGCCACCAAACATCATCTCCGTTAACATCAGCTCATCTGCAGCACTTACTTCACACGAGACACGCCCCTGGAATGAAAGAAAATATCCCACTCGAAATCATTTAAATATGAGGCAGAAATCATGCTTTGATGTTCATCCAGCTCACTCACTGTAAAAAAATGCTGCGAAAATTTAAGATTCCAAATTAAGCGGACATAATAAGACAACAGTAATATATTAGGAACCATTTTATTTTGGCGCTTCCCTAAAAATCTACATTAAATACTTTCAATACTAATCGCATCCTTAACCTTTTGTGTAATAACATCATTTTCGTCACAATATTGCAATCTTCGAAGCACACGCTTGCGACATTTCAACTCATCCAGCTGCAATAAACTTTGCGCTTTCTTTAGCTCAGTTTTTGCCACCTTCAGTTCCGCTTCCAACTCTAGCTTCTTTTCATACTGCTTGTAGATTTCGTCAAATTTACTATTCGCCCTGAACTGCTTCCATTAATTAGAAAACCGCAATCACCAATGCTATCTAAATATTAAATTGGAGATAAACATACCTCAAAGGATGGCTATCCTTTCTCTTTTCCAGTGCTTGCAACTTAGAAATATTTTCCTGCAGCACTAAATCATTTATTTTCATATCGTTCAGTGGATCAAGCAAAGGCATAATTCCGTTGAACCTTTTCAAAACTTCCTGGAACGTCGTAAATAGTATGGAAAAACATCGATGAAATAATAACAATTGGAATATTTCGTTTTAATTAAATTAGATTATAAAATAGTTACTTTTATAACGCGACCAGCACTTTGTTTTCCTTCATATGCTTTCAGGTTCTGCGGTAACTTTACGCGTGCCGCACTTATTTCAGATACACAACTGATCGCGACAGATACAACCTAAACATTTCAACTCATTCTCAGTATTATTCAGAAGTTAGGAAGGTAGTTCTGATTTAATCCGGTACGTCTCCGGTGAATAATAAAAATTCACGAAATCAAATAATGACCTCTACAACTCCCTTCTCATTCGCATTAGGTGGTCGCAACTGTGTAATATCTGACAAGTTTTTCGCACTTTCTGCAGACAGTAACATCAATACATCTAGTACGTACATCAAGTCCAAGCCAAGAGGATCAACCGGGTTCGCTTTTTTGTGGAAGTCCAACAGAGCCGCCCATCCAAAATCTTTATCGTTTGAAACAATCTGAAAATCCACATGACTGTCTTAATGAACATTTAACGGTTTCGAGTTAAAACTGGAAATGAAGAATACAAAGAGTAAATTCAAATTGAAGTAGAGACAAGGAAAATATGACGATTTAAAAAAAAAAAACAAACGTGAAGCAAACGCCCAGCTTGAAGAAAGGGTATAAGATGCTTAGGCTTCATAACGACCTCTTTTACGGCTTCTTTTAATACATCAACCTGTTTTTCCATTTGATAATAACCTGATATTTCTGTTTCTCTGTCAATTTTATAGGCAGCAAGTTCCTCCTTCTTTCTTTCCACGTCTGCAAATTTGAAATTTGGTGCTGCTGTCAGTAGACTGAAACTGAATAAATTCATATAAAACTTCCATATAACAATCAACACTAATGTAACAAACTTCCATAGAGTTGCGGTAGGGCATCATAATTCTGGAACTGATAAAATGAATTCTCCAGCATAAATTCAGGATTGATGCCTTCAACTCGAAGCAAGTTCAGAACCATATTATACGTCAAACGAAACTGCGAATTAAGCGGGTCTGGTGCACCTAAAATATAATGAGATCGGTGGGGAAAATGAAAATTCTTTGTAAATTTCAAAAACGGATATAAAAACGAAATTCTATTATAAGAGGTTAACCTTTAATAATCTGTTTAGCTACATCCTGTCCCATCTGCTGATCGACCATTAGTATCACAAGGCCGCGATCGTCTTTACCTCGACGTCCAGCTCGCCCACTCATTTGGATATATTCACCCGATGTAATCCACCTGAAAATACAGGATTTAAACGGAATGGAGTAACCGGAAAAATATTAAAAACTTTGGGTATATCCACCTGACTATACCTACGTGAATTAGGTGACTCTATCTGCATAAATAACTTCCCTAGGAATCATATATAGTACTAAAGTGTATTTGAGTACTTGAAGTAAATCATCAAAAAGCAAAGACTCACAATTCTACAACCAACCGTAGGTAACAAACTGTTAATTTTACTTATAAATGACTGTAAAGTAAAGAACACACCAAATATACCAGCAAATAAAAACAATTCCTAGAACAAACCTGTAATCTTTTCCATCGAATTTTCTTGCCGATGTGAACAGCACCGTCCGCGCAGGCATATTTAAACCCATGGCAAAAGTTTCAGTAGCAAACAGAGTCTGTAAAATACTTTCATTCGTATACATCTTAGCATCTGTCTTATTTATGCCTAAGATTTCAATAAAACAGATTTCAGTAAATCCACCAGAAGATAAATTTTGACACGTTAAACTACTTACTTTGATCAAACCCTCTCCGAATAAAATCTCGATCACTTCCTTAACAATTGGCAGCAAACCCGAATGATGCACTCCAATACCACGCAATAATAATGGTAATACTCGTCCAATTTCAGGTAATTTGCTGTCTTCGTCAGATAATAAACTGATTGCATTAACAAATATTTCTTTTACCTTCGCTTTTTCGTCTTCTAAAAGATTATGTAAATGCTGCTGACAAATATTGAAGCTAAAATCTCTTCGAAAGAACAGAAAAGAAACTCACCTGTATTGAAATCCAAATTCGTCATTTGCGTTGCATATGCTTCACACTCTTTTCGACTGAATGAGAAAATGATGACTGGAATCATATCACGTTCCTTAAGCGTACGTATTATATTCACCACATGAGGTGTGCCTAGATATGTGAAAATTGAATGTTTTTAAAACATACAATTTTTTGACGAAAACTGATTACATTGACAAATAGATCTGAAATGCTAGGACATCCGAAAATCCTGTCCTGTAAATTCACTTGGTTCTGCAAAACTTTGTCTGAAGGATAGTGCCTTGTCATGAACTTTTTTGAACTCCCGTAGATTCTAATAAAAACCATCTGCTGTCAAACAGGCGATAAAAGGAATTTAGGGAAATCAGATAAAGTATATTTGTAAACAGCAATACGACCAACTACTTTTTTGACATTTTTATCTGGAACGGCATTACAGAACAAAACAAATGAATAAAAACCACAATATAAAGAATCAAAAAAAGCAACTTTGAAGTATTGGACGATAAACCTTTAGAATAAGTGGCACGGAAATCAATCATAAAATTACCTGATGTTCCACCTTTCTTTCCTTTGTTGATTCCACCATGCCCTGCATCTCCCACTTGTGACAATACATTCATTGCTTCGGTAAATTTATCTTCTCGGAAAATTCCCTAAGATATTTTTTAAAAAGTGGAGAAAACCACTATATTGGCATAAAAACAAAACTGTAACAAATCTTAGGATGCAAACAAACAGTTGTAAAGAAACGTCAAATAGAATCACTTCAAAGAAGACAATAAAGAATATAAGTAACCGAAAAGAGCAAGTGTTTTTCCAAACTTACCTGCATATTTACAACTTCATACAGGCCTGAACCGCCCGCTGGATATATGAAGTGTTGCAAAGGTACTGGACGGTAGTCGGTATATATGACATGAACCGGTTGATCGTGAAGATAAACTACCCAGTCTGCAAAATCATTTTTATTAAATATAAGGAAATAAGACGGTATAATTTCACGAACACCTCACCAAAACAAAAACTCGTTCATCTTTTTCAGCACTGCACTTTAAGCAAGACTGACCTGCAAATTGCCTTGCATTTGGGATCGTAGCGGAAAGAAAAACATAGTGTACAGTGTCGGGTAGCAAAATAATTGTTTCTTCCCATACAACGCCACGTTCTAGAAAATAAATATCATGAACAGTTCTTTAAAACGCAAATTTCTAATCTCTTGGTCCACTTTACAGTTGTTGACTCGTTCCTATCAATTCTCTTTCAGAACAGATGTTTAACACTAAAGACAGTCTTTCATTCCTACTGACTAAAAATTCATCAACATCAGAAGTAAATTTCCGAAAATTACAAACCTTTATCGCGCATATAGTGAATTTCATCGAAAATAACCCATCCAACTTCCCTCATAATCTCTGAACCACGATATAACATTGATCGCAAAATTTCTGTAGTCATAACAATGCAAGAAGCATCCGGATTCAGTGTATTGTCACCAGTCATCAAACCTACGTCCTTCAATCATTTAAAAAAAACAATAAGTTATAAGGACATTTTCCCATTATGGATATGAAGTAAGTAACAAGAAAAACTTACACCAAATTCTTCTTCCAATTCTCGATATTTCTGATTAGACAAAGCTTTGATAGGTGAAGTATATATAACGCGCTGCTTATCACGTAGAGACATCGCTATCGCATATCTAAATACACAATTTAGTACACTCTATATACAGCTTATCTTAATGTCTCAATTTCCCCATTTACCTAAACACGTAATAAAAGGTGCTACCGAACCTTGCGTAATTTAAAGAGTTTGGAAGGAAAAGTGCATTTTCTGTAAATTCTGTTTTTAGAGTACTAACCACGAGTACTAACCCGCATTAAGCACTGACTTTCGAAAAACTTACAATGCAACAACAGTTTTTCCAGCAGAAGTATGAGCAGACACAAGAACGGAATGGCTATTGTCAATACACGTGATTGCTTCCCGTTGAAAGGCATCTAACTGGAACTCATACATCTTGGCTGGAGCTGTTGTACGTGGCTTCAATGGTACATATTCCATATTTGGTGGCAAAACAACCTAGAAAAATTTCGTGCGAAGGGAAATAACAAAAACGTATTTTAATACTTTAAAAGATCGTAAAACTACTTCATGTGAACAATTTCCTTCACTTTCGACAGTTTTGATATTGTTGCGTGGATGGGAAGCTAAACCAGGAAGCTCTTCTGCATTGGTCTCATTTTTCGATCTTTTCGATAACACTCCTACAAAAAAACCCCTATTTACTTATGTAAAAGAAGCATTTTGACATGAAGCAAAAGTCCTTGAAACTTACTGAATTAATACAACTGAAGTAAGGATACCTGTATCGTTGTCATCTGCCTCATAATCATGATCACAATCATCATCATCATCATCATCGCTGGATACCATCCTAATATTATTTGCAGCGTTACCTGTCGCTAACTGTCCCAGTAATTGGTTGGCTCGTTCACGAGCTTCCATCTGTCTCTTCTTATTCATCTAAACATGATATTTTTCGAAAAGCAAATTCAAATCACGTTACATATAATTAACATTTTAATATATGTGTCAGTAAAAGTAACAAAAATTAAAATATTTAATATAAGATTTAAAAGTTAATTTAAAGAATAACGTAAACATTAAAATGAGCGAAATATTACAGTAAAATATCTTGATGAACTCGAATTAACAATAATGACATCTGAATCAACCGAGAGTAAATTGGTTAAGATAAATTGGTTAAGACTTTGGTAAGAAAATTTGGGAGAACAAATTACCTCTGCCTTTTGAAAAGATCCGCTCGATAGTTTTTTCTTCCCAGTACTACAGGATGATAGTGAACCACTACTTCCTGCAAAAACATCGAAGATTTCCATATCTTTATCCATGAGACACTCACGTCACCTATAGAAAGCAAAATTTGACAGAGTAAAATGTGAAAGTAATAATAAGCCACTGAGTCTCAATTCACTTCCATCAACATTTCAGCCATGCATCCCTTAAACTATTGGCTAACTAGAAACACTGGGTGTTACCATGGATGACCCAGTTGCATCACGTATAACCCTGAACGGACTAGAATAAATCATCACTGTTGTAAAGATGATTTTGAATACGATTGTTGCGTGGAAAGAGATATGTTTTATGGCATATGTTTATTAAGTGACTAAGTAGCAATCTGATAGGTACAAAGATAACGATTAGCTTTTACTCCTATCAAAACAGAAGGTGTCCTCTATTGCCAAACGTAACTGATCACAAATAAGTAATCTGTGCGATGACATGAGTAAAGCAAAAGAGCACTACAAGGGAAAGTAAGTGGACATTCTTGGTGGAAACCTAGCCATGTTTGAAACACTCCAAGGAGCACCCCTGCAGTGGGTAACAGATAACAGTTGATGGAATCTCTTCCGTGCTTCGCTATCATACAATTAAACGCAAAGAAGGAGACCTGAAACTTCTCCGTACCTCACCAACTAACACCACCGGAAATTTAGAAAACACAATTCCACAACTTGAAGAAGCAAGCTGTCAAAGTGATCCTAAACAGATAAATATTTTTGTGCGATTTTGACGAAATCAAAGTGAAATGAAAGTTCAAGTTGTATTAATCGTATGGGTGTAAGTTGTCACCTTATAGTCGCCTTATAACCTTGCGGTTTTCGGGATCAATGGATGTTATTGGGAAGACTGACTCACCCATATTTACTGCTCCATTTAGATTGAATTTGGGATCTTTTCAAAAGGACGCTGTTGATTCAAATCTCTCGCTTACCTTTTCTAAGGAAGATAAGCGACTATAACAGTTGAAAAAGCCCACTTACGTATTGCATAAGTACTCGATTAGTATGAAAATGGAAATAGAATGAGATATCAAAGAAGTTATCTCTGTACTGACGACAGACGTAATGACGACGAAGTATTCGTGTGAAGAGGGAGCTTAACCGATGAATAATTCGATATGCTTCCCTGAACAATTAATTCCTTGATTTCGAGCTTTCCATCTTTTATGATCTCCACAAATTCCACTCTTTTACACCTACCTTAATTTTCTCATCAAATTCTAGACCATATATTTCTTTCAGTAATTTGAAAATTTAAAATATATTTCGCTGCAATCCACGAAGTTTAGTTTGTAAATCGATCCATAAAATTTACTGCATAATTTTTAAGTGAAACACGTGATGAATTTCAACAATTTTGGAATTGTGTATTTTGGTTATATTCCAATATCATTACACTCGAATTCTTTGGGATTCGTAGTGGGTGGGAAATCGTACAGTTGCCTGTTACTGAGGGATTTTCTGTTCGCTGAATCTTTCGTAATGACTGCTGTTGCTCTTGTCGTTCCAATCGTAGTTGTGGTTCGGGATGACTGAAAAAAACGACGGATTTTGTTTCTAATCCATAGTCTAATATCTCTGTTATTTGGAAAAGCTTGAGATGTGTTTAAGTTTTGGGTTTGAAAAAATCTTTACCTTGGAAGAAAAATTCATTTCCCAGTCATATGGATCAGAAAAGGAAACACTGAGCCGCTTCATGCAGTTCATTAACAAATCATAAATTTTCTTATAATCGGGTCTTGATTCATAGGTCAGTGTCCGTATGTACTTCAGGATATGGACCCATTCCGGAGGACAATCTGCCATCAGTACTTCGTCCGTTATTTTATCCTTCATTATGCCCACTTCCTTTTCCTGTGATTCTATGACATAACTAATTCATGATAACTTCATGAAAGTTATAAATTTTATTTTGATATTTTTCACTTCTCAGTGATCTTTATATTTGAATGACACAAAAAAAATCTCCGTGAAACACGTACTGTGATACCACGCCACGGCAGTCCGGCGTGTAGTTCGACAAGAACATAGACCAACGACCACAAATCATCTTTTCTTCCTTGCTCCATCCGGGCATGAACTGCCGGAGAACAATACCTAAATTTAGACGTTGAATAACAAATCCTTAAACATAAAGGGAAATGATCATCACTACCATCTAAGATGAGCTGCATATTTGCTGAGGCATCTCATTCAGAAGAGCTTGGAGTATACCTTGTTGTACCTCTCATAAGAACATGCTCACGCTGTCGCCTAATTCGTGCGTAACCTTCCTCCCAAATTGCATATTCTCGTGCCATGCCGTAATCAATTAGGTAAATGATACGTGCTTCATGGCCACGCCGTCCGATAACCATATTTGCTGTAAAATGAAGAGCAATATAAAGTTGAAATATCCAAAAAATTTGAAAAGATTGGCTATGCCATTTTCTCATTGTCATACACGCAAACTTTATTTTGTTTTATGCTATCCTTGGGCTACAATTAATGCTGATGGACCAGCCTGGTTTGATATCCCGATGTACATAACCAATTTCATGTAACTGCTTTATAGCGTATAGTGCGTGAACTCCGATCCGATTTGTTGTCCCAGCAGTAAATGTGTTTACTTTGCACATTTTTTTTAGCTGTATCAAATTTGGTCCCAAGAGTGACATTACGACGTATGAATACTGTAATACAATTTCCATCAAAGCAATTATTCATTGTCTTGTCAAGTGATATGGCCTCACTATTCTAATGACAAAAATCAATTTGAAGAAGTATCGATGTGGACTAGTCATTAAGGCGAAAGGGCAATCATTGAGATTATCCAATATTCTATACTAGTTCTCCTTCCAGATGTACCATGACAGAAAGATGCCAGATAATATGGATGGCTGTATATCTATTAATGTAAGAAGAATGAAACGTTAGTCTTGAAGCCACTGATCTGACTGACTTCCCGCTGCTGTGTAATGGCGGATCCTAACCTCCAGAAATATATTCGTCATGCTTTGACATTGTCTACCTTTCATGCTACAAGGTATCCGGAACTTCTTAGAGAAAAAGTATCTAGTAATAGATTATAATGACAGAGAAAAACAGTTGAGGGAAAAGGAGCATCCAAGTAAAAAGTTTTAATAGAAAGGACATATTCACGACGCGCAGCATATACCACTCGAACAGTATGCCTTCGAGATTGCAACTTCCGCATGACAGCTACTTCCTTCTTCAACACGCTGTAATTGTCATCTGAACGCGCTTCAACCTGCAGATTTGTGACCATCGAACTAATTACGCAGCAGGAGATAGAAGCACCGCTTTTGTCGGAAAAGGTCTGATGAAGCACAAGTGAACATCACTAGTTTTCTAACCGAAGGATAGGTTTGAAAATGCAGGGCGGTTAATGCGCCAGTGAAATAGTACCAGTTTGACATGCATCACACATTTCACAAACCTTCTTACTAGATGTTAACCTTCAAAAGAGCTTGCCATCGCTAATGATGTCGTGGCGTTGATGAAAAGCTCAGCTGACTCTCTGACGTTGATGTTTTTATAAGGTGATATATATATATATATGTCCTCCGATTATCACAGTGATCGGCTTGTTGTCGGACAGTAGGAAAGCTAGGCCAAAGTGGTAGAGCTGACACATTGAGAGAATCTCAGTAAAGGTCATTCAGATAAGACAGGTTTTTTGTTGCTAACCCATGAAAGGTGATTAATTGGTTGGCCTACTTTAAGGGCAGCTTTCACTCGGGTATCGTTCAAATCGTGCACTTTGTATACGGTAGCACATGAACCTTCGCCCAGCTTCTCATCGATAACCCATCGTTTACTGACTACTTTGCCCTCGGACATATCGATGAGATCCATCCAATCAGGCCTATTGTTTCGTTCGAGCCTCCAAGTTAATTCCTAACAAATAACAAAGAGTATCGATCTTTCCCTCACCCTTATAATGCTTTTATGGTCATCTGGAAATTCTTACTCAACGAATATGTAAATTTGCTGGATCACAATAAATTCCTCTATATATGTTGACTGTGAATGAGATCGTATATCTCATTCATATATACACCAGGTAGTGCAACTACGTGCGGTCGTTCTAGCTCCTTGCTCCTCTAATACGGGACGTAAGGAGAAATAAATTAGATGAATATTCCTGTCTGACTTCATGGGTTGACACGTTTAACT